AAATGATTGACTGCATGCAGCCAGCTCCAGGTGGGAAGCCCCGCTGTTTAGCAGGAGTTCGGTGCTGAGAAAGTGGCTGCGGCCGAAGCTTTGTCAGAACTCATGAAGGTTATTGAAGTTTCTGGAGCACGATCAATACAGGATGTATACAGAACCCTCTCTTTGACGGCCAAGGACACTTTGGGCTTTAAACTTCAGGCTAACAGCAAGGGATGCCAGTCAATATGTTTTGTGACAAGACGCTTGCCAAGGGATTTAGTGGGAAAACAGACGATTTCAATAAATCCTCAAGAATGGAACAAAGTTGATATTGTTCTCCTGGATGCTTTCAGGATGGCTTTATGAAAAGGGGTGGATAGAAACAACAACAACAACAAAAAAGGAAAATAAAATTATATTTATGCCTTTAATTCGAGCCAATTGACTGCCGAGTTTACCCAATGTCAAGTGCTCACCTGCAAGGCTTTAAGTGATGCTCCTCTAATTGCACTAATTCTGTGGTTGTTTGGACTCTAATGGATAGAATAGAAAATGAGTATAGTCTTTTTTCAAACGTAAATGAAAACATCCGGACGTCTCAGTGATGAAGGAATAGGTGGGGGTGCTGTTAATGAATCACAAAAGCAGACTTCCATTAAGCTCCTCTCCTTTTTTAATTTAACTTTGCACTCAACCATTAGACTGATTTAAGTTTGTGATGCAACCCAAGCTATTTGTGTGCAGAAGGAGTTGTTGGATAGTTTTGTTGGAAATTATTTTGTCAGGGGAGCTCTATAGAGACTTGCTTATAATGTCATTCATAGACACAAACTCTTGAACTCTTGCTTTTAGTCTTAGAAAATGTTGAAGAGATTTTGTCCATGCCTGAAATAATTACATACAATCTGATGTTTTTTATTTGTTCGTTATCTGCGGTCACATCTCTCCTAAATCTTTTTTTTTTTTTTTCAAACAGCTTCTTTCTTCCTCTGTTACTTCTTAATCAGCTCTTGGTGACCTTTTCGTGGAAGTCACTTTGGAAGTCCACTGCGCTAATTAACATAAGCATGGGAACTTATCCATCTCCGGTCAAAACAGAAACAATGCTGAGGAGTTGTTGTAATCTTTATTTATCTAATTTTCTGCCTCAACAAGTTGAACAAGCCAGAAATGTGGAAACGCTGAGACAAGAGTCTGTTTTCACTTCGTGATCTGGGTATTAAGACGGAGCGAGTGTTAAGACTTTAGTTGTGTTATGGCTATGAACCCCTATTTTTATGTTCTCCAATATCTGCTTTACTTGCGTCAGACCTCATCAAAGCTCCAGGGTTTTTATACTAAATGAGAAGAGGCACAAATGAACTGCAGGGCTAATTACCAATTAATACTGTGGACCATTGAATTTGTTTACTTGTTTACCTGGAGCTGTGCATTATTTTGCTACTTAGGGTGCAGTCACTAAAGCTAAACAATGTTTTGGCAATCTTTTTTATGCCACTGATCATTGCAGAGCTGGCTGTGAAAGACCTTTCCCTTTCTGCATCATAATGTTCTCAATTCTCCTTTTTATTTACTTTTTTCTACCCTCTTTCATACCTTTTTTTTTGGTGCTTTTTTTTGCATACGTATGTGTGCCTATTTCTGTTTATCATTCTATTCATATTCAAATAGCACATTTTACTTTCCTTTATTATTTTTCATTTGTGTGAGTTCTGTCGTAGCTTTCAACAGTCAGTATTATTTTTCTCTGTTTAAATTTATCTCATGCATGAGTTGAAACTTGTGACAGATTAACACCTTTTATTGGGTGTTTGTAGATGAACCAGTAAACAGTAGCAGTACAGCCAGTTTCTGAGTAGCAAATAGGTTTGCTGAACTTATATATATATATATATGAAAAAAAATATATACAGTGCATTTGTTCCTTAAAAGCAGCATTTTTTGTTTTTTTACCAAGACTCTACATCTGTACATTTTAGAGCTTTAATGTATTTATTACATAATAAGCAACTTGACATCAGTTTATATTTTGTACAATATCCTTTAGGCAACTTTGACTTACCTTGTGTTTGTGGAACAGACTTAGGGTGGCACAAGTGATTTTACTCACTTAGTTTATGTGTATATATAATTATGTACAATAAATTACTTGATTTGTAGGAGAAATGGAAGTGTGAAAATGTATAGAAATGTACAAACCGACAACTAAATGACTAAAAATATGCTCATAGTCAAACTTCAAAATAGCATATTCCAACATTAAAACATAATTTGACCAAAATTGCTTTCAAAATGTTTGATTTTACAATAAAATTTAAATAAAATTATTTGTATTAGGTGCCCTTTCTTTGGAGTTGTCATGTTTTTCTGGATAATTTGTTTACAAAAACAGTAAAAATGAGATGTAATGAATCAAGGTCACCCTTCTGTCTCGAAGCATGAATAAAATCTAATTTGTGGTTAATTGGCTTTGCAACAAAATAACTTTAGTTAGTAGAGAACCTTTCATAGCTGTAGCTCATTAACTGTAAATAAATATCGAAAGATTTGTGGTGATGTTGGTTGACTTTGTAAAATGATTTTCTGATTTGTTTTCTCTCCTCTGTATTTACAGCCACAATGTCTTTATTATTTTTGTCATTTTCCAGCATCTGCATGTAATGCTTTGCTTTTCCCATCCTCTAAAGTTTGTTTTCTCACTGTTATCTCTTCTTTCACTCACTTCCTCATTTCTACATTCTGCCTCTCATCTCTCTTTTGCTCTATCTTTTTTCTCTGAGCAGTCCAGTTAATTGCCTCCAAAGTTCACTCTGTCTCAGAGCTAATGCAGTTTAGGAAGGGCCGGAGCCCCGTCGTCTGCCTGGCTCTGGCATTTCATTAGGTCTGCTCAGGTGTTAGCTTGCAAGCGAGTGCGCTATCATCTCCTCATTAGTAATTAACACACAGGTAGGATTAGCTGCAGTGTGAGGCTGGTAGCAAGTGGTCACTCTGGTGTTGCCAGTTCAAGAGGGCTTAAGTGATCAAGCTTCAAGCTTATTATTTGTTGATGGGCGCAGCTGAATTTGAATGGAATCAAATGTGTGGTGAAGATAGTTATCATCTGTTTAAATTTAAATCCCCAGACTTTTTGAACTTTTTATATCCAACTTAAGTTCTACATTTTTTCTGCAAAAAACATGATTTGGTTTTGGTCCATAGATAAGATCTTAATAAATCTTTAGATAACTCAGAAGCACCAAAGTATTTAAATTCTTGCTTTGTGTTTTCATGGGTGAGCTCTGTGAATGCACACTTGTGTTTAAACTTGAATTTCGATATCAACGTGAAGGCTTTCCCGTGCAGGGGTTGCTCTCCACAGCGTTAATTACATCATTATGGCTGGGACGGATCTCCATCTGCTCAGCCATTACTCCTGTCCCGTTCTGGGCTGACCCACACAGCACTCCTGAATTAGACACACACAGGCTAAATGGCCCTGATAAATTATGAAGCTATTAGATAGGGGAAGCTATTTTGGAACATAAGCATTCACAAAGAAAGGAATGAAGGGTGAGAAGAGATGAGAGAGAGTGGGCCAAATATGAACTGGAGTAGACAGAAGAAGAATGGGGAAAAAATAGAAACGTGAGAAATGAGAAATGAATCCTAAAGAGACTTTGAAAAATGAGAGCAAATGAAAGAATCAGCGGGAACGTACAGATAGACTGATAGAGGAAGTGAACGTTTTCTGTCTGTACAGAGTTCCAATGTGCTTATTCCAGACTATTGTTAGAAGTTGATAAGATTTTTATGAAGCACGATCAGACGTTGATGGATTTCAGCATGGATCATGTAGACAGATCAGGGAACTGGAAGACAAAAAAAAAATGTCATCCAAAGTATAGTGCCATGTCAGTAGCTTCTTTCTGTACTGGGGACTGGATCTTTCTTCATATTTGTTATATGTAATAAAGATAAGACATATGATTTTGACCTGAGAATAATAAAGTATTATCAGTGACATGTTTTCTGACGCGTTTTCTTTGCTTTTTGCTTTGTTGTTAAATATACTGCACTATGATTATTTGCTAACTCTGTAGGATTAGAAAAAAAACAAAACATTTGTTGGCATCCCTGACTTTTTCTGTTTAAAGCCTCATTTGAAATATATTTGTATATATATATTTTTTTCTTAGACCAGTTATTTTGATTGCAAAAACAATTATTAACTGTAAAATATTAGGGTTTAACCTCTTAATTATTTTCCATATTTCGTCTTTTTTTTTTTTTTGTTGCTTCAGTCTAAGAATTGCAGATTTTTAACATTGACAGTTGTATCAGGGCAGCACGGTGGCGCAGTTGGTAGAGCTGCTGCCTCTCAGCAAGCACATTGCTCCGGTTCAAGTCCCGGTCCGGGAGCCTTTCTGGGTGGAGTTTGAATGTTCTCTCCGTGCATGTGTGAATTTTCTCCAGGTACTCCGGTTTCCTCCCACAGACCAAAAACATGCATGTTAGGCTGATTGGTAACTCTAAATTGTCCCTAGGTGTAAGTGACAGAGTGAATGGTTGTCTCGTTTGTCTCTATGTGTCCCTGTATTGGACTTGCAACCTGTCCACGGTGCACCCCGCCTCTCGCACAGTGATTGCTGGACATGGGCACCAGTGACCTCCGCGACCCAAAAAGGAAGAAGCGGGTAAAGATAATGGATGGATGGATGGTTGGACAGTTGTATCATTTTTTTCAGATTTGATAAGCTTCTTGAAGAATATTGCTTTCTTCAAAATGACCAAATATGACATTGTCAAAAGATGCACTTTGTTGACTACCCTTTATTGTTCTAGCTCAACTTTGTATCTCAAATCACTTTTAGAAAACAGGAGCATTTGCTTGGGCTACACAGCAAATATGTCGAAAGATTAAAAAAAACAAACATTTCACCTGGTTGAAGGACATTTCCCCACCAATTATACAATGAAAAAGTTCTCATATCCTTTTATTCTACTGCTTTGTACTTTTTGACAAAGTGCTCTGTTTTGTTAAGGTTCTGCTGATGGAGTATCTGGATGTGAAGAACAGCCGCAGTGCCACGGAGCCTTCGGCACAGCTCTCTTATGCCAGCACAGGCAGCGAGTTTGCTGCTTTCTTTGCTAAGAAAAGACCACAGCGTGCCAAGCAGTCACTCTTCAAGTAAGAATCACGTTCTTTTCACTATTGTTCATGTTCCCCACCAAAAAGAAAAACGTGGAAAGTGCATTATGTACAGCCTGTAAAGTATGTTTATAACAAAGAAAACTGGGTTTTAGAGCCACAATAATACATTTATTATTAATAAATTTTAATTTTCTCTACAGAACAGGATTTCTTTTCATCTATTCAATTTTTCCCCTTACAAAGCAAAATCTGTACTGTAAAAAAATAAAGACTTATTGTGTAGTAACAAATAACATTTAAACAGGATGGTGGTAAAATCTAATTACGGTAGTTTGCATCTTCATTTTAGTTGAATTATAGTCTCATTCTTAGACCGGCTCTCTTCACCTGTACTGATTTGTTAGTGTCAGCTTTTTAAAATATTAGTAGCACAAGGATGATAATGGAGAAATTGGGGATGCTGGCTTTAAATAAGTTTTTTTATTACGTTTATTAAATCATAACCTTTTATGACCATTTGAGTTCAAGGACTTTAGGGAACCAGGGATAAATCTAGTTTATTTAATTTCATCAAAATAAAGTGTTTTTTCCTTACCTTTTACATACTAGTAAAAAACAAAAGTATGACCTGTAATTGATACTGATTAAAACAAACATGGGTAAATGTACCTGTATTAATACTAGATATAACTCATTTCATCTCACAGTAATCAAAATGTTAATTAATGTTTCCAAAGCTGAATAAGTTGTGCAATATGCATCTTGGTACTGTAGTAGGAATCATGCAACACTATCACTTTTTATTTTTTTAATCTTTATTCCTATATATATATAAAAAAAAAAGGTATTTGTGATGTTTGGCCAATAGGTTAATTGTGTTTATGCCTGGTTTATTTGTGTAATAGTTGTAAAGGCAGCTATTGGGATAGCAGAGTCAAAAACAAATTTTCCCAAGGAGTCAATAAAGTACATCATATTGTATTATACCATATCACATTGTATCTCATATGTATAGGTTTCTAGTTGTATTAGAGGTGTCACATATTATTTTTTCCGCCAGTCTAATGAAATGTCTCTCACAGTTTCAGTTTTCATTTATACCAGCCATATTTAATATATACAGTGTACAACAAGTGGGTGCAACAAATCTGCCCTGTAATTTTACAACGGTGCATCTTGACATTGTATTGTTGTGTTTTTCATTATTGAATGTTTTGTGTGTCCTGTAGGTTTGAATCATCTTCCCATGCCATCAGCATGAGTGCCTACCTGAGAGAGCAGAGGCGAGAGCTGTACAGCAAAAGTGGAGAATTACAAGGTGAGGAGAGGGATTGAGGGTTGCACAGAGGAACGGAGCATAGGGTTAAAGAGTGGACCACCTAATAGTTGGAATTGGGAAGCGTGGATAGAGAGTAAGATAAAGATAAGGGGAAAAATGAAGAATGTGTCAAAGGGAGAGAAAGGAATTGACAGAAGAGTGAAAGGGGGGCAAATATGGCAGAGAAATAAATTGGACAAGTCTGCTGTGTGAAGGATATTGTTGAAAAGAGCAGGGTGAGCAAAGAATGAAAGCCGAGGTCAAGTGAATGGATTAATAAAACAGATGAAGGTTATGAATAAAGCAATGGAAACATAACCTGTAGAAATAGAGATGTGTAAACTGAAATGACATATGCTTTTAATTGCAAATAATGTGCAGAGATTAGAAAGAGGTGAGCTGTTTTCACGTGTACTTCATTGAAAAGGAACAGAGTAGAAGAAAGTGGTGAGGTTCGGGCGAATTGGTCACATTTGGTAAAGGTGAAAGTGTGTGAGGGGGATGGTGATTGAGGTGAAGAGTTGGAATGGAGCGTATGAAAGAGAGTGGTGTATGGTGTCTGGAGACAGAAAGAGCATGTCACAGTTCGAGGAGCTGCACTTAGGAACAAAAAGGCAGACAACAGGAGTGTGGAGCGCCATGCAGCGATACAGAAAGAGATTGACGAGATGCAGAGAACGGGGTGACTTTGCAGAATCCGCCCACAGGGAGAGGCCTTAAAAAGCTTCTCACTCACACATTCACACGCACAAAATAGCTCAGTGAGTGAGCTACACAGCTAGACCCCGGAGAGCTGAAACTATTCTGGCTGCCCCTACTTCTTCTGTTTTTCACTCTCTGGCTCTCTGTTCATCTGCCTATGACCTTGAGGTTTCAATCAGCAGTGCCTGATGGTGATGTTTGCTGCTGTCTGCTGCTATACCTTTTATTTCACATCAAACTTCTAGCTGACACTGTATGACTAAAATAAAAAAGTGAGGAGATTAAACAAAACGATACAAAAGTGCCTTTAAGATATCCAATTTGAAAAACTTCAACTGGAAACATTTCGTAGTATCTGCACAGCAGGCTTTAATAACTGTGGAAAATGCTTTACATGATGTAGAATTGGCTTTATTTTTTTAGGTATTGACTTGACAAAACAACCAGACAATAGCAAACTTGAAAAAGAATGTACAATGTAGGCTGTAGTTCTTTTTCTCAAAGGTAATGCTGCAGTGGGTCTGTAAATATAAAATAGAACAGCATTGATTAACTGTGGATAAAAGAAAATCTCAAATGGTCCTCCTAAAAAAAAACGCCATGTCTTTCTTCTTCCATCTGTCAGTGCCTAAGAAAGAAGGTGGGGGGGAAAAACATTTTTTTTGACTGACTGAATGCCTCGGAGCGTTTATAAGAAGATGAGATTTCTCTTGGCTTTCATTTCACCTGTCACAATGTGTAGCACTGGCCACAAGCCCGAGCCTGGGCCTGAATAGCTGAAAAGAGATTGAAGGAGTAAAAAATCATTTAGAAAGTGAAATAAGTCGACTGTGATGGAAAGAGAGGAAAGCTGGATGGGAGAGAGAGAGAGTAGCAGGAAGGTTAAAAGTCATTGTTTTCATCAGGGTCCAGTGAAGAAGCCATTAAGAGACTTCAGAGGGAAGAAATTAGAAAAATATGTATTGTGACTGTGTAGAAAGGGACTTTTTCCTCTCTCTTCAAATTAAACGAGTCAGAGAGAGAGGAAAAGAGTAAGAAGTGAGCGATTGAGCTGATGAATGCTTTTGGCTTTGGGATTACTCACCGTCTAAAGATTAGTCATGTGTGTCTTTCAGTCTTCCATTTGGTGTTACTGAAGTCTTTTATTATTTTTTTCTCCTGTGCTTTATTTGAAAATAAAGTAAAATTAAATGAAAAATACACACACATAAATATATAGTTACGGTAAGAACTCTAATGCTTAACAACACAGTGTTGGAGTTTATGTTTTGAATGTCCACTTAGTATATCCATATTTAACAATTAAAAACACGACCAAATACTGCAACTACAGATTTATTTATAGTCTGTAAGAACTTGCTTTTGTACTTGATGAAAATGTCTTATTATGGAATTTCAGAGTAATTAAGAATTATCTTTATTGTTTATACCAAATTAAATTATGCTTACAAATGCAATCATTACACATCTCCATCTGTACATTACTATTAAAGTGGTTTGTAATGACTAGTTAATTTAACTATCATCTGCTTGATGTATATACTTCAGAAGCAACATATGTTTTAAAACTTAAGCTGCTTGCTCAAAGACAGTAAAACGAGTTCTGAGGCAGAGCAATATGTCTTTTTGAAGTAATATCTCATTGAACTATTTCTGCTGGTGATCAGTTCGCTAACAACATTCACAAGTAAATCTCCAGAATGTCTTGCAACGTTTGTGGGGTGTCAGCTTTCTTGCTTGAGTTGTAAATGCTTGCTTGAATTTTGAACATTTTCAAAAAGTTAGTCATTGTGTGTGTCTCACATCCATTATGGACCCTTCTCAGTTTGGTTCTGGGCATCTTCAACCTGTATTAAGAGCTGAATTTTGTCCAAGTCTAAAGCCACACTAATGATAACTACCTGTAGTTGTAAAGAAGCTGGTCCAAATATCTTTATTTCACAAGTGTGTTCCAGTAGATTAAATCATAAACATGGGGGCAGTATGGGTATGTACAAAGCAAGCTGAGGTGGGCAATGAATTAATGAGCAGAGCTTAGGAAACAGTTTTTCATGATATGTACACACGAATGAGTTCTGATTTTCACAATTGGGCTGCCACACCTCACTGGTTGCTTAGTCACAAACTTTCAGAATTCATTGAAACAGCAATGAAAAACTTTCTTACTTTTCTCATAAAAGTGAGTTAAGTTTGAGTCATCAACTCCAACTCCAACAGCCCAGTGAGCAGATCTTACGTGGCCTGCCTGAATCAGACAGAGGCTCCTCATAATGCATGGATTCTGCTAATATGTTGAACTTACTTAAAACCTATTCTTATTAATGAAAAACACTCCTCTTTGAGCAGTTGCAGTGTTCCAGCTATCTGTACCAAAGTTCCCAGACCCTATGTTACTAAACCACAGAGCAGCTGTTTTTATGTAATCACGTGTAATGTTTTTGTAGCCCATCTACCGTTTCAGATCTCTAATGGCTTGAAATTAATCTGTAATATCTGTAATTCATGTCTCCTGAGTGTTTTATGGGCCTACCATATATCATTATTAAAGCTTTTCAGGCACATATTCACATGCCCCACATACAAACGCACAGGAGGGCCTTAATTGCTTTCCTTCTCATTGTGTATGCTTCAATTAGTCCAATGCTTCATCTAAAGACTTCATTTACAGCTCCATATGTGGCCACATCTGGAATTTGTGATTTGAATATATGTATTGAACCTAAAGAATGCGAGCCTTGCTTTTACGCACACGCCAGATCCTCAGCTGTTTGTGTAAATGACTGTGTGTATACGGGTATTGTGTCGGGGTGTTCACATATCCTATGCAGAGCACTACTTCAGAGTCAAAGAGTTGCACCCAGTTTCAATCTTTTTCTTCATGAATAAATGATAAAAAAAAAAAAATCATTTAGAGACGCGTTACCATTCCTCATGTTCCTCTGTATGTCATCCAGCTGTTACACTTTAAGATCCTTGGCCTGTGTTTTTTATTGCCACTATGTTGTGTGGAGACATCAGAGTACCGCAGTGGTCATCTGGGAGGTGAAGTGCAAATATATCCTAATAACTACTGCAGTGTTGCAATGCACCATACAGCAGTTTGTATATATATATATAATTATTTACTTCCTTTTGTGTTGATCATTTTATTGTGTCTTGCATGTCTTTGCCTTACTCTGGGGCATGTTTGAAGTAACAATCTCTTCCCATGTGAAAGCACACATTCTCCTTGTCACCTCATGTTTGCCTCGGATTTCCACGTAAACAACATACACGTTTTAAAATTACCAGGTTTTCTGAAGGTGCAGTTTAGTGCTTTTATTTTCTGTGCCCTCCCTTCTCACTTTTTTTTTCCTAAGCTGTTGTAGTAATCCGTTTTTTTATCTGTTTTTCGCATTTTCTGTTTTGATGTCAATATTCAAATTGACTTGTCCACAGTGTCTAGAAAATAAGAAAAATCAGTCTGGCTGGATATTTTTATCAAAGCAATCTTGTTACAAACAGCACTTCTTTTACTCATTCCATAATTTTAGCTCTTTGGCGAACAAACGAATAGCTTGTCTGGTGTTGGAGACTTCTTGTTTATGTATAACAGTGTTATATTCCCATGACAGAGGCAGGAACACAGAAAGGAGCAGGGGGAGGAAAGTGGGGTGACCAGAAGTGGTGTTTCTTGTCAAGCTGATTTGTACAGCCCAATCAAGGGGAGTGGGGAAAAGAGGTGCAAATGGAAAAAATGTCTTGTGGGAGGTGCTGGTGTGTAGGTGATGGTGGCGTGGGATATGAGGGTGGGGGCAGCAGATGTTGAAAGGCATAAGCTCTTATAAGTGTGTATGTGTTTGTTTATAAGGTGTAGTAACAAACAAGATGTTTCTGCCAAATGATGTGTGATGTTGCACTGTTTGGCATTGTGATTGCTGGGTGTGGAAAGTGATACAGGTGCATCTAAAAAAATAGAATTTTCTGAAAAAGTTCAATAATTTTTGTCAGTCATTTCAGAAAGTGAAACTCAAAACTAAATATATTCATACACAGAGTGACATATTGGTATGACAATAAAAAAAAAGTCCTTGAATCCTTGAATATTGTAAGCCTTTATTTATTGTAATTTTGATGATTAGGGCTTACAAGAAAATTGAGCTTTTTCATGTTATTCAAATTTTTTAGATGCACCTGTATATCCAGACAGGTGAGTTTTCAGAAAGCCACTATAGAGGATGATGGTGTCTTTACAAAGGGCTGTCAAGAAACGCATCATCCTCACATACTTTCAAACTAACACAGGTGTCTGTTCTGAG